TAATGAAAGTGTGAATAAAACATTGTGGAAACACCAAAGTGCAGCAAGTTTAATAATAGGAATATTTCTTTTTTCCTTAATAGATCTGTTAAATTGCCACTATAATTACCTAGAACTATTTTTGTAGTATTTCCCATCACCAGTTTATCTTTTAATTCATTCATTTACAAATATTTATTAATTGGCTACTCAATGCAAACAAAAGCACAAAGAAATTTCTAATCTGGTTGGGATTGAGGTATGATATATGAAAAGCTAAAAAGTAATATAGCTGTGAAGTTTTCAGTAACTTTTTTTTTTTTTTTTTTGGCTGCGCTGGGTCTTTGTTGCAGCATGCGGGCTCTTCATTGAGGGCCTCTCTCTAGTTGCAGTGTGCGGGCTTCTCTAGTTGCAGTGCGGCGGCTCTCTAGTTGTGGCGCCCGGGGTTCCAGAGCACACAGGATCAGTAGGTGCGGTGTGCAAGCTTCTCTCTAGTTGCAGCACATGGGTTTAGTTGCCCCACAGCATATGGGATCTTAATTCCCCGACCAGGGATCAAACCCACATCCTCTGCATTGGAAGGCGGATTCTTAACCACTGGACCACCAGGGAAGACCCAACATTTTCCAGTTTTGTGATATGTTTAAAAATCATATAAAATTAATACGTTACGGGCTTCCCTGGTGGCGCAGTGGTTGAGAATCTGCCTGCCAATGCAGGGGACACAGGTTCGTCCCCTGGTCTGGGAAGATCCCACATGCCGCGGAGCAACTGGGCCCATGAGCCACAACTACTGAGCCTGCGCGTCTGGAGCCTGTGCTCCACAACAACAGAGGCCGCCACAGTGAGAGGCCCACGCACCGCGATGAAGAGTGGCCCCCGCTCGCCACAAGTAGAGAAAGCCCACGCACAGAAACGAAGACCCAACACAGCCAAAATTAAAAATAAATAAATAAATAAATAATAATAATAAATCATATAAAATTAATACGTTAGAAAAAAATAATATAGTATGAGTCAATAGCTCTGACCTAAGGGGAAGAACCAGGTGAGCAGTATAAATTATCAGTTCTCAACCATGATGCCTCAATACAGCAATACGTTACTATAAATTGTGCAGCATGTCATAGTAATGTGTATCCATAATTAAGTTCCATAACGTAACCATTATCAGAGTTTGCACTTTATTTCACACACACACACACATACAGAATTGAAAGTTGTTCTTATGACAACATCATTCTCATTTATTTTCATCCTAATATACTTACTTGAGTGGTCTAACTAACGAATTCTCAAGGGGGAAAGAAAAATGTATCCACAAGAAACTCCATGAGGAATTAAAAAAATGGGTAGTACTTAGAGATAAATTGGTCACAACCCTCTATGTGGGAAAGATGAGAATGTGCATGATGTATCAGGAGAAATAAATAGACTGACCTACATGAGCAGCGGTTTATAGAGGGAAGTATAGCAACAAATAAGTTAGGAAGTCTTATAGTAGACAATTGTTTTTGCTGCTCTGCATCCCTTTAACCTTCTTCTTGTAATTTCATCTTGCAAATCACCCTCTCCCTCTTTTCTGACTGGATGAACTTTGGGTAGGATTGACTCTAACCACAGTCCAGGAGTGAATATGTGACTCAGACCTGGTGAATCAATGTCATAGTCCTCAATTTGTAGAGATGATTCAGGAATGGGCAATAAGACGCAATGAGACTTTTACTAAGAGAGCCACATGGTCTTATCTTCTGAAATTGCTAATAGTAACAATGCTGTGAGCTTGGAGCTGCTGACAGGTGAGCACTTTGTGCCAGGAAATGATTCAATATAGCAGAAGGAAGAACTGAGAGATGAAGAGAAGGAGTAAGTCCCAGTGATACCATCCAGCTCCTGGATCAAAGCATGACTGAAACCAGTAACCCCTAGACTTTGCAGTTATGTTAGCTGATATATATATTTTTTCTAATAAATTTATTTTATTTTTAATTTATTTTTGGCTGCGTTCGGTCTTCATTGCTGTGCACAAGCTTTCTCTAGTTGCAGTGAGTGGAGGCTACTCTTTGTTGCGGTGCACAGTCTCTAGGTGTGTGGGCTTCAGTAGTTGTGGCACACGGGCTCAGTAGTTGTGGCTTGTGGGCTCTAGAGTGCAGGCTTAGTAGTTGTGGCTCACGGGCTTAGTTGCTCTGTGGCATGTAGGATCTTCCTGGACCAGGGATAGAACCCGTGTCCCCTGCATTGGCAAGCAGATTCTTAACCACTGCACCACCAGGGAAGTCCTATACTAGCCAGTAGATTTCCATATTTACCTAAGCCATTTTAAGTTATATTTTCTGTCATATATAACAAAAGAATTCTAAATTATTTGGGTCTGTTGGCCAGTTATTAATGATCCTATGGGACAAGGTTAGAAATTAAGACTTGACCCTATGAGGGGGCCACTGGAAAAAAAAGTAGTTTTTAAAGCAGATGTGGGACAGAATGAACATCATTTTTTTCATTATCAAGGAAGCAAATTACCACAAAGAGTAATTTATTTTGAGATGTGCATACAGGAGTAGAAATGAGATTACATCTCAGACTTCCTAGACTATGACCCTAAACTGCTTGCCCTCTATGTCATTCTGTTGTAGCTAGAACTTAGTACTTTCCAAATGTCTAATCCTATCTTTTACTTAGTTCACGTTAGACACAGAGGTCAATTAGGCTTTGAGCAAGTGAATTTCTTAAAGTATGATCCATCTTAATATGTTCAAAATAATATGGGTTTTCAATGAATATGGTAGTGATAATGTCGTCTATACCTTAACAGCCAATGAAATGTAGCAGAAATATAGTGCCATACAAAGAATGCATCTAAAACCACTCCCCTGAATATGAAATCCATGTTTTCAATGTACATCAATAATTATATCAATAACTGATTTGTTAAAAATAAAAGTTCAAAAGGGAAAACTAAGAGAGTAGGGTCCTACTCATGATTCCTTAACAGTTTTGTATGATTGAGTAAATCATGTTTCCTTCTCTATGATTCAATTTTCCTACTTCAAAGATAGAAAAATGTTAATACTGAACTTAAAATACAAGAAGATTTAAATATGGCCTTAACCATCTTCATCCATGTTCATCAGACACTTGAAAAACATCAGGGAAAGGTACTCTAGGAATATAGAAATAATAATAAAAGTTAAAATTGAGTACTTACTATGTTCTAGGCACCATTCTAAATGTTTTACATGTATTAAACTATTTATGCCTTACAACAGCCCTATGAGGTAAATATCATTATCATCCCCATTTTGCTGAGGCTCAGAAAAGTTATGATTCTTGCCCCAAAGCCCAAAACTAGCCAAGGTTTGAACCTAGGCAACTGTATACTGTCTTTCTACTTACCTAATAGTGCAATAGATAATCTATAAAAAGAATAATAAACGTGAAGGAAAAAATTCTGAACAGGCAAAAGCGATGTCAAAAGTTTTTAATGGGGCTTCCCTGGTGGCGACGTGGTTGGGAGTCTGCCTGCCGATGCAGAAGACACGGGTTCGTGCCCCGGTCCGGGAGGATCCCACATGCCGCGGAGTGGCTGGGCCCGTGAGCCATGGCCGCTGAGCCTGCGCGTCCGGAGCCTGTGCTCCGCGGCGGGAGAGGCCACAGCGGTGAGAAGCCCGCGTACCGCAAAAAAAAAAAAAAAGTTTTTAATGTCTTTCATTTTGTCATAAGGGATTCCCTCAGGCTCAAGGCCTATTGACTTTCATCTTAGGTGCAATTTTTAAAAGCGTGTTGATATTTTTTAAACTCATGGAAGGTCAGTACCAGGATGGTAGCATGTGAAAGTGAGGAGAGGTGGTTACATTCTGGATATGTTATGAATTATATTACACTATGAAGCTGGCTTTTTTTTTTTTTTAATTAGCAATCCTCAATACATGTAAATATTTTCTATCAGTTCAGTTTTCCAGAGAAAGATCTCCCCCTATCTCCTGCCTGGGGATACCAGTAGTCTGGCTGCTAGCTTTCTAGAGCTGGGTAGGGAAAAGAGCAGAGTGTCCTGTTTAGAATGCAGACTTTCATGTTTTCATACCCATTCCTCAGAGTCTGGTATGTCCAAGTCCAGAGCCTCTCTAGTTCAGTTTCTCCAGAGGATGACACCTTCTGTCTCCTGCATGGAAGGAGAGAAACACATCTGGCTACTTGGGGTAGGTGTAGGGAATGAGGATGTAGGTTCTACATGATCCCTGCACAGACTTGTAAATAATTCACCCCCTTCTAGCCCCTTCCCTCCTTGCACATATTCTTTGCCCCTCCAATTCCTGTGGCTTTCTGAGGATCCTTGGGACAAATTTGTGTGCCTATTGCTGGTGTCTGCCTCATCTGCAGTATCTAAGGTTTACCTTTCTCTGACTTAAGCCATTTTTCTTTTGTCCACCCACTTTTAGCCTTCACATACTGTGCCTTGAGGTTAAAGATGTTTCCTAATGTCATTGAATATGGAATTGATGTTTTTATTTCTTTTTTTTTTTTTTTTTTTTGCGGTACGTGGGCCTCTCACTGTTGTGGCCTCTCCCGTTGCGGAGCACAGGCTCCGGACGCGCAGGCTCAGCGGCCATGGCTCACGGGCCCAGCCGCTCCGCGGCATGTGGGATCTTCCCGGACCGGGGCACGAACCCGTGTCCCCTGCATCGGCAGGCAGACTCTCAACCACTGCACCACCAGGGAAGCCCTCATGTTTTTATTTCTTGTTCTCCTCCTACAAATACCTTTAAACATATTAAATATGCCTAATATCACTCATAGAAAACTGCAAATTAAAACTTCAACAAGATACCCCTTTCCATCTATAGGATTAGCAAAGATTATTTGCAAAGTTATTGGCAGGCCTCAGTTTCTCACTGGCTGTTGGCTGGAAACCTCATAAGCCTTTCCATAGGTAGATTGTCTGAGTGTCTTCAAGACATAGCAACTGGCTTCCTCTAGAACAAGTGATAGAAGAGAGAGAAAGCCCAAGATAGAAACTACAGGGATTTTTTTAAACAACAACTTTATTGAGATATACATAAAGTTACACACAGGTTTTTGACTGTGTGGAGTGGGGGCAGGGGTGTGGGAAGGGGCAGGAGTCAGGACCCCTAACCCCCTGCATTGTTCAAGGGTCAACTGTAATTCATATACCATACAATTCACACATTCAAAGTGTACAATTCAATGGCTTGTACATTTACAGTTTCGCAACCATCACCACAATCAGTTAGAGCATTTTCAGTACTTCCAAAAGAAACCCTGAACTAAGCTATTGCACCCCCAATTCCCCCACTCCAACCTTCCAGCCTAGGCAACTATCAATCTACTTTCTGTCTCTACAGATTTGCCGATTCTGGACATTATGTATAAATGGAATCATACAATATGTGGAATCTTATGACTGGCTTCTTTCACTAAGGTTGAAGCATGTTGTAGCATATATCAGTATTTCATTTCTTTTTATTACGTGCTCTCTCTTTTTCACTATCTTTCAGTGAAATTCCTACTTATTTATATTTACATATCCAGGTTTTTCTCTCTCTCACTTTTTTAGGTACAAGAAGGACCTGGGCCTTCTTGGCTCAGGATCTGGGTTAGCACTTCCTAACCTCAGAAACAGGTCCCTTTAGAACTGAGGTTCTAGTTTGGCCTATGGTCTTCGGGTCCTGAAAGTCTATTATAACCTAATCTTGCAAGTGACATACCACTACTTCTGCCATATTCTGTTGGTCAGACAAACCAATTCTCATACAGTGGGGGAGAGGACTACACAAGGGTGTGAATACCAGAAGGCGGGAATCAGGGCCTTCTTGAAGACTGCCTACTACAGTGAGGATGTTGTCATGTTGCAATCCATGTTAGAAGTAAAGGCTTAAACCTCTAGCTTTGCCTCGTCTTATAGATCACCACTTACAAGATCACAAAAGCAAACAAACAAAAAGCTCACTTACGTTGCATGGTATAAAGGAAAAGCCCCCACTTAGAGGGAGCTTTGGCGGGAGTCAGTCTTACTTCAGCAGCACCTGATGTCCCTTGATTAGTATAGAAGTGAATATCTGGTATTATGGGAATGAGGAAAGGAGGCGTAACACTTGGTTTTAAAAGAGAACGTTGAAGAAACCAATGGCTGATAGCAACTTGACTAAACACAGTATTAGCTATATAAATAAAGTTGAAAAACACTCTCCTGGCATAAATGTATTCACCCTGATGAATGATTATCTCCAAAAATAGCTGTAGTACAATAAAGAAGAAAGTAACTGCAGCTTTCTTATGGTTTGGTCATGAATATTCACTCAGTCATTTTGTCAGTCAACAAATATTAATGATACAGAGGGGACTTTTGCACTCAATTAATATTCTCTGAGTTTCCCTTTGGGATATGACACTGTATTTAATAATATAATAAAGAAACATAAAACAAATACACGGTCCCTGCCTTCAAAAATCTTTCATTCAAAGGCAAAAAAAATAGACAAATGACAAACTGATATTTGTTTATTTTTACTGTTATGTTTTATTTGATATTTGTTTTTAAAGACAATAAACACAAGGAGCTATAAATGTTCTTCTTAAAAATATACATATATTGCCACTTGTAAATTCTTTTTCCATCTCCATGTGTTTTTTTGTTTTTGTTTTTGTTTTTTAAGGAAGATGTTGCGGGTAGGAGTTTATTAATTAATTTATTTTTGCTGTGTTATGTCTTCATTTCTGTGCGAGCGCTTTCTCTAGTTGTGGCAAGCGGGGGCCACTCTTCATCGCGGTGCGCGGGCCTCTCACTATGGCGGCCTCTCTTGTTGCCGAGCACAGGCTCCAGACGCGCAGGCTCAGTAGTTGTGGCTCACAGGCCTAGTTGCTCCGCGCCATGTGGGATCCTCCCAGACCAGGGCTCAAACCCGTGTCCCCTGCATCAGCAGGCAGATTCTCAACCACTGCACCACCAGGAAAGCCCTCCATGTGTTTTTAGTTATTGATGAAAACTGTTTATATACAAGATGAATTTTTTTTCAGTTAAAAAACACACAAACACATTTTAGGGTTCCATAGGTTTGGGCTTATTTTCCTGGTTATTGTGTGTGGGTCAATTCAGTGGGTAACAGTAGTAAGATGAACATCTGGAGTTTTGAAATTTCTTTGAGAGATTAATTTGCATTGCACCATATAACCATGTCAAAAGAGGGCAAGTTGCATCTCTGGTAAATTAAAATACAAGGAAATATACAAAGATATCTTTACTAAACTTGATTCAGTGAAAATATTTCAGATCAACAGATTGTAGGAGCTTTTTACTTAAAATAGTTTTACAGATAGGTTTAACTCAAGACTAGATTAATTTATGATGAGTCAATAGTAAAGAATACAATTTTGCATATTTCCATTTCTGCAGAGCATTAACAAGAAATTTTAGTTTGTGCATAATTTGGTATTTACGCAAAATCAACTTAAAAGCAATATTCAAACTACCCAGTTAGGGGCTTCCCTGGTGGTGCAGTGGTTGAGAATCTGCCTGCCAATGCAGGGAACACGGGTTCGAGCCCTGGTCTGGGAAGATCCCACATGCTGCAGAGCAACTGGGCCCGTGAGCCACAACTACTGAGCCTGCGCGTCTGGAGCCTGTGCTCCGCAACAACAGAGGCCGCGACAGTGACAGGCCTGCGCACCGCGATGCAGAGTGGCCCCTGCTCGTTGCAACTGGAGAAAGCCCTCACACAGAAACAAAGACCCAACACAGCCAAAAATAAATTAATTAAAAAACAGAACAACTCACTCACTTTAAACAAACAAACAAACAAAAAAAAACTACTCAGTTAGCAGCCTCCACCCTATCTCAGTTTTTATACCCTTAGAAACTAACACACAAATAGATGACTTTCCCTCAAAGAAACTCCCAGGCACAGTAATGTCAAATGAGGCTGTAAACTCTTAATATAGAAAGGAAGAGGAAGTTTAAAAAGCTTTAGGTAAAGATGACTTTCTTCCATCCTATAAAAAGTATATATATACCATTTTATCCCCTCTAGACCAGCAAAAATTTAAGTGTAACAATACCAAATATTGAAGAGTAAGTGAAATTCTTATAAATTGTGGGAATAGTAGAAAACTGTTTGGCATTAATTATCTCACAAAGATGAATATTTGCATACTCTACAACCAACAACTCTACTCCTAGGTATATGACCAAGAGAAACCCTTGCATGTGTGTCCAGGAGGCATACATAAAAAATTTTATAGCAACAATGTTTACAATTATTTAAAAGGCTAGAAACAAGCCAACTATGTATCAACAGAAGAATAAATTGTGATATATTCACACAATAGAATGTTATATGGTACTGAAAATCAACAATCATTATACACAACAACATGAATGAATCTTGGAAACATAATACTGAGTTAAAAGAGCAAATCCCAGAAAACTACATATTGAGTGAAGCATTTTTTATAAAGCTCAGAAACATACAAATTAAACAATATGTTATTTTAGCACATATACATTTGTGCTAAAACTAAATTAAGAAAAAAAAACCAGCACAAAATTTAGGATACTGTTACCTCCGAGGGCAGGAGGAAGAGATAGAGGAGAAACACGATTGTAGATGCAATTTACTGGTAAATATTCTAGTTCTTGGGTAGTTCATTACATGACTAAGTTTTATACCCAATATATGTCTTCCATATATCTTTTGCATGTATTAAAAAGAAAAAAATTAAGAGATTGACCTAATTTATCCTCATCTTCTCCAAGTGAGAGCTGATTCTTATTCTGCATATAAAGAAACCGAGGGTAATGATATCACTTACACGTAGAATCTAAAAAAGTTAAACCTGTTAAAAAAAAAAACAAAAACAGAGAGTTAACATAATGGTTATCAGGGGTGGGGGTGGGGGGATAAGGGTGATGGTGTTTAAGGGTACAAACTTGAATGAGTAGTAAATAAGCCGTAGAGTCTAATGCATAGTATAATGAATATAGACAGTACTATTGTATTACAATTGTGTAATGAGATAAATACTGCTACACTGGCAATCATATTACAATATATAAATGTATCAAAGTAACACACTGCACGCACACCTTAAACTTACACAATGTTACATGTCAAATTTATTCAAAAAAGAAAAAGAAAAAGAAACTTAGGGTGGTATGACCCTATCTTCAAATAAGGAATAAGACAAAGAGTTCTGCAAAATAGAATCCCTCTCAAAGCTACTGATAGATTTTTTAAAAGAGAATGGTCTGTCTAACTGGAGCCAAGAAAATACAAGTGAAATTAAATCCAAGTGAATTAAATGGGAATTTTTTTTCTAACATGTGAATGGATTGTGTGATAAACTGAACCTCTTACCTGCCAGGAAATAGTGATGATCCAAGATGGGATCTCAGCATCACTAGGTGAAGTTAAAACTTCCAGAGATAAAAGGAGCAAGAAAAATTTCAGGAAAACGGGAGGTTCGGAACAGAATACCCAGGATAAAATGAGCAAAAAATACAAAAGCTAAATGGATTCTTTTTTTCACTTTTCTTTAACTTAGACTGTGCAGCAGAGAGGGGGAAGGGACAGAGGTAATAGAGATAATTAAGACACAGTCCCAGCTCTCAAGGAACTCATATTCTAGTAATCAGAGAAAAACCTTTCAACGTGTAAATGGAAGAGATACTTCTCTACAGAACCCATAAACAGTTTTTCAGATGGAGTAAAATGGCCCAAAACCTAGAAAAGGGAAGAATGCTTGGAGGCTTTCAAGAACAATGCAGGTGGTGAATCTAGTAGTGAGGAAGAGGACAGTTTTAATCTCAGGCCAATGCCGGTGAGCCTGAAATCAGAAGGGAAAAAAATAGAAAGAGAACTTGGCTTTGGGCCTTGAGTGAAGGGCAGGAAAAGTTGGTGCCACAGTGGGTGGGAGTTCACATTTATGGAATACTTACTGTGTGCCAGATCCTCTTCTAAATGCTTTTTATGAATTAACTAATTTAACCCTTATAGTATACCTATGAAGCAGTTGGTATTATTACCCTCATTTGATAAATGAGGAAACTGGGGCCTACAGATGTTAAGTAATTTGCCAAAGTCACGAAGTTAGGAATTTGAAAGCAGAGTTTTGAACCTAGGAGATTTGATTACCCAGCCCACATTCTTGACCACCACACTGAACAGAGGATGTTTCGCCTAAATAAAAATTAGGGAAAACAGAAGAGCTAAAAAAGTATTTCATCATATGAATTCATTAAAGTTTATATACAGTTGAAGTAAACTGTAAATATTAAGATTTTTACCCTGAGACATTATTACATCTTGGTAAATATTAATGGTGTGCCTCAAAACATTTTTTTTTCCAGGTGAGTGAAGCCATCTTTATTTATTTTTAACATCTTTATTGGAGTATAATTGCTTCACAATGGTGTGTTAGTGTCTGCTTTATAACAAAGTGAATCAGTTATACATATACATATGTCCCCATATCTCTTCCCTCTTGCATCTCCCTCCCTCCCACCCTCCCTTTCCCACCCCTCTAGGTGGTCACAAAGCACCAAGCTGATCTCTGTGCTATGCGGCTGCTTCCCACTAGCTATCTATTTTACGTTTGCCTCAGAACTTTTGTACTGGGCACTAGGAACATGGAATATTGCAGAACTAGTAGAGAGAAGCTGTGTCTCCAGGGCATGGTCTTAGGAGAAGAATCTCATCTTTTGGATCCCTCAGGAGACAGGAAGTTACTCAAGGTAAGCCTTGGCAAAGACCTCAATTTCTCATGTAATAAACTGATGTACTTTATAGCCAATCTCAACCCACATACATATTTATTCAGTCTCTCTTTGCTTTCTCAGCAATTTAATAACTGACTTGTTGGCTCATTTGCTTCAGCACTATGCTAATGAGGTAAAATTGATGGGTTTAATTCCTTTTTAGCTCTAGTGGCCATGAACTGCACCCCTAAACTTAGCATACATGAGCTGTTGAGTGACCCCAGAGAAACTGTTTGGCTCAGAACAAGTCTATCAACGTTACACAAAAGATAATGCTTTACTGAGTATGTGTCAGAACCTTCATGTTTGTATTCAAGGACAACACATTAATTTTCACAGAGAACAAATAAAGTGATTTGTTTAATGTCTCACAATGGATCTCTGGGACAATCAAGAATAGATTCTTGGAAAGTTCAACATAATACACTTACTCAAATTGACCCTACCTATGTTATACAGTCATAATAAAGTCTTTGCACAGCTTCATGACATATACTCAATCAATCTTGATTTTAGGTAGCCAATAAATAACAAGTAAATAAATAAAAGCAGAAACTATCTCAGTTTGTAATTACTTATGGAAGAACTCTTACCTGAGGACAAACTAATGAAAACATAATCAATTCCAACTCAATAACACAAATTTAATATTCCTAGAATAAAGTGATCTGAAGTAAGCTATGTAATTCATTGAGAGAAACTTACAAAGCAGTGACAGAGGTTTAGTTGGCAGATGCTACTGCTCAATAAACTAGATCTAAACTTTTAATATGATCTGACATTGGACAAGACCACAATAATAAGGGAGGTGTCTCATAATTATCCAAAGATATTCAAATGAAAAGGATGGTGAAAGATGAAGTTAAACTGGAAACTTATTAGAATGAGAATAAGTAAATCTCTAATGTCAGTTTGAAATAGAAATGGCTGAAATTATAGCAGGAGCAAATAAAATGAAAAACATTGACAGATATTTGTTTGTAAATAAAATGTAAAGTTTTGATGTCTGATACTTCAGAGTAGAAGGAAAAAACCATGCTCTTGGAAAGGGCTTATATTCGAAACTTCTCCAAAGAAGAAGGGAGGGTGAAAGGGATGGGGAGAGGGAGAGTTAGTTTAGTGGCAAAGAGTGCAAACTATGAAGGAAAATTGTCTAGGTTTAATTCTTGACTTTGTCACTTAGTAACTGTGTGATTTTTAGGTTTCTTAATCTCTCTGTGGCTCAGTTTTCTCATCTGTAAAATGAGTATAATAGAACTTACTCATAAGGTTGCTGTGAGGATTTTATGAGATAATAAATAGAGAGTATTTACACAGTGCCAGGTACATAATACGAGCATTATATAAACATTATACTTTTGAATTAACGTCAGTGATGATATTTAATCAGAGAACCAAGAAGAAATCTGATACAGGTCTGCAATCTTTTAACCCAAATCCTTAGGGCCAGATGTGTTTCTGAATTAAAATTCATTTCATATTTTAGGAATGTAAGATATTATGCTACCTATATTTTACTTAACTTGTGTTGTCTGGGGCAGCATACCTTAATTAAACACATATTTCCACAATGAAATGCATCAATAGTCACACCAAATGGACCAAATGAAGACTTTAAACAGAGTCAAGTCAGTTCAGATCCATTTTTGCCACAAAATGAATTAAGAAAAAAGTTTTTGGATTTTGGAATTGCAGATAAGGGACTGTGAAGCTTTGTCCGTAGAGCCATAAATGTTATTGTATTAAATAATGGAATAATAATCATGGGAAATATAGAACAATGCTGATATTAAATGAAAAACTTTTCTGAAAACCTAATGAATTTTCTTCTCTCTTAAGAAAAAAAAATGTATACATAGTGTGATGTATATCTAGATTATACATGGGATGTTACCTGTATTGTACTTGAGTGACTGAGTTTTTGTGGCCTATATAAACACCTGGAACATCTCCCCAGATCTTCCCATGACTATTTCAGGTCTCTGATCAAATGCTACCTCTTCAGAGAGGCTTCTTTGATCACTCTGTTTAAAATATCAGGTGTGAGACATGCACATACACATTCACACACAATCACACAGAAAACTTTTTCCCCTTACCTGCTATTTTTTTCTTTTTAACACTTATCACTATACAGCATTATATTATATATGTGTTTATTATATTATCTGTCTTACTAGACTGGAAACTCTGTGAGAGCAAGGACTTTGTTTTGTTCAAGCACCTAAAACAATGTCTGCCATTGTCAGATAGATACTGTTAGAACAGATAGATACTGTTCAATAAATGACTCAAGAAAATAAGGCTGATTGATAAACAGTGGTGGGTTCCAAGGACCAGTTCTAAAATAGCAGGTGATACTTTCCAAAACGAAGTTCAAGGGGAAAAAAGAGGAAAAAAAAGCCATCTAAACTAAGCATCAGTTGTAATATGTTTATGAAATATGTATATTGTGGGATTCCGAAATAGTAATTAAAAAACATTTCTCCTTTATACACATACTTATCAAGTAAATATTGATTTACTATCTAGCGAGTAAAAACTAATCATTACATTACATTTAATAATTAATTTTGAGTATTTAAATAGACAAGAAGAAAAATTATACTTGAAAGACAAAAATTCTATAGCACAAAATATTAAAGAACTCCCTTTGTATTTTTCCCACGGTATATTTTGATTCTTCCCTTCACACATTTTACTCACAACAGGAAGAAATGCAACTGATCTTCTTCTTCTAATTGCCAAGTGCTACTGCACTGGGTTGTAAAAATGGCCTAAATTAGCCTCAGAGGGCAGTGGTATCTGGTTGCATGTACATACCTACTCATGAATGTGTTTAGTCTTGCTCCAGGTAATAAAATGGCAACACATTGATATCCTATAGTATGCAAGCAAAGGGTTTTGGGGTCACCATAAAATGTGCAACAAAGTTCAATGGTACTTTCCAGTCCAGATAGATCCACTCTTTGGAAAAGCCCAGCTTTCCTCTCCATCTCTAACATTCATATGTTAGTTCTGACTTGGGAATTACTTTTAAAGAGAAGGAAAGAGAAGGGAAAGGTAAAAATAAGGAGTTAGGCCACAGTCCCTTGGCAAAAGTATCAAGAGTAACTACCTTTTTCAAATGACCATACTTGTAGCCTACAAATTGACATTCCATTGATCATGGTTAAAGGTAAGATGATAGTTTCATTTCAACATGTTACTTTTACTTTTGTCTTTTCCCCCCCATTACTCTTAAATCAGGAAGGGAAAAAAAAAATGTTCCAACAGCACTCTAATGGTTTTCAAATTGTGTTACCGCGGATTATGCAAGGATTTTCTATTAGAATTGCTTGAAAAAAATAATGGAAACAGACTGTTTATATATATTTCCAACAGGACAAGGGACCTCTGAAATACAACAAATTAGCACACATATCTGCACCAGGTATTGTTAACCAATGACTCCAGGATGGGAAGAGGTAGGTAAAAAAGTTGAAGTCAGACAATTGATACAAAAAAAGATCAGAAGCTCATAGTTATATAATTTGACAATGAGATTGAGTTTAAATAATTACTGGCCCCTTTGCTCTCAAGTTGCATATTATACTTAGTGAGTTTCATCTGGATAAACACATTTTGCTGGTATTGTGGGTAAGAGGATGAGGAGTGATTTTTCCACAGCTCTATTCCCTCAACAGAAAGGATCCTGCTTACCTGCTTCTGAGAACTGGTTGAATATCATGTGAGTACTTAAGGAGTAAACTAAAGGGTCCACTTCAATAACTCAGACACCAACGAAGAAAAAGTTATTCTTGTTTAAGTGAAAATTCAAGATCACCAGCATAGTCTGTTTTAGGGCACATATGAACTATACAAGCCTCATGCTTCTGACCCTTGTCTTCAAGTCCCTAAACTGGAATAAAACCAATAAATGCCTGAGGAGCCACTTCACACCCCAAACACGTGCAAACTTTGTTCAACAGAACACTTTACTGCCAAAACGGAGCTGGCAGAAGTTTGGAGCTAAGGCCCACAGGCTGCATGATTTGCTGGCGCAAGAGAGCTTAAAAATCTTAACATAATACTGCTGAGTTTGAGTTCTACCAATTTGCTTAAGACTCCTTCCCCAAGTTTGACTTAAGAAAAATGGAAGCTGCCATCAAGAAAGACTTTACTAACACTTCATCATCTACTCAGAAATGCTTTAATTCCCCACTCCTGATGGTCATACCTCTATATTCCTTGGTGGTTGTATTTATATTGTAAATCTAAAGCAGTCTATTTTGAAATGCATGTAAATTCAGTTTTGCTTGGTTGCTTGGATATAGAAGTACAGGAAGAACGACTGTAAATATACAAGATTAATTACAAGAAAGTTCTGCTTAGAAAACACTTGATCCAAATAACCCCATATATCCCAATTCATTACCCTTGAAAAATGGGGGAGAAATTAAGATATAGAATATCTGTAAATTTTTATCACTTTACATTTGTTTTAGTTCATCTTCTTACATCTCTGAGTTTGAGTAATGGTGTTTTATTTTTTACATGAAAAATGTAGGAAGCCAGGAAAGGAGCCAAGATGAGTTCTTCTCTTCCACAAGGGTCAACAATAAGGTCCTATTTGGAATCTTCATAAGTTTGATGCAGTTTAATGAGGAAAACTGCACCTGAATTTAAAAATTGTAGGGAATACTTGCAACTATACAACTAACAACTTTAAATTTGTAAACACTTGAAAAACATGCTGTATTGAGAAACTATGGTTTGCTTGGGAAGGTTATCTTGTGCTTTTTCAATAAGAGATCTTTAAAGATGCTGCTTACTCCTCATATAGCTAAAAAGTAAACATAAATTAAAAAGCTTAAAAAAGACCCTTTCTAATCTTTTCCCTCAGTAGCTCCATGTATTTTATTCATTCCTCTGAAAGCCTGTTTTTCCACCTTTAGAACCTCCTAAGTATTCTAATTCTCAGCTATGATTTCATATTTTCACCAGCTTCTAATCTGCACAATATAGTTGGAAGCATTTAGGACAAAACACTCTTTAGGATATCAAGTTGCAGAAGACTGTAGTTTTAAAGATATTTATATAGTAGTGCTGCCACCTAAAGATGAGGCGAATAAAGAAGCAATTCAAAGGAAATGACCCATCATTCTTAAGGCTGTCTCAAAATTTTTCTCATTTCTAACTAGGGATTAATAAACATTTTGCTGTTTTGTTAATATGGAAGTTTGTTTCACAATAAATTATTGCTGAGCTGTAATTTTCTATGGCAGAAATTTTCAAATTCAAACTTTTTAGAGTAATCTGTGATTTGGGGTCTCCAGGAAACTCCCCAAATTTGTTTCTCTCAGACATTAGGCACTGCCTACAATACACAAGTGTGGGGTTGGGGGAGGGGGGAATCAAAAGATACCCGGAAGTAAACTATTGAGGAATCTCTGGTTTAGTGGATAAAGCAGGTAATAATAGACCTATGGTGTTTCCCTTTATCGGTGACAGACTGCTTGCAACTCTCAACAACTGACATATTTTTGTAACTCAATTTTCTCGTCCATAAAATGGGGTTAATTTCACCTCTCTCCTACTTGCCTCTAAGGCTTAGCTAGGTAAGCTTCTTGGAAGGTCCTATAATAAGTGAGTTGACAAGTCTACTATTAAAACATAAAAAAAAAAGAAGTCTACTATTGCCTAATAAAAGAATATCTCACAGTGTATTGCAAAGTTACCTCCAAATAAAATATACTCAGTTAAATAAGGTAAAACATTGATAAGTTTTCTTAAATCACAGATTGACTTCTCTGAGAGCTATTTAAATAATGATAAAGATGGAAGGCTGTTTTTTGCTTATTTTGAAGCCGATATTTTTAACTGATCCATCTTCTATGTATGCAGTGTTGCAGGATGGAGATGTGACAGCATACAAAATGAGGGAAAAAGTTAACGTGTACCAAAAATCTTGTCAAACCTGGTCAAAGATTTCAAGAAAACTCTTAAAGGACATTTTATAGTTCTGCATTTCGCCCTAGCATAGTAATTTATGAATATTAACTCGTCCCTTTTACTCTCTCCCTCTCGGCCCAAGGACGCATAAATAATATTTATCAGGGTTTTGTCCTTAGTCACAGTCCCTCAAAGGGGCCCAGTTTCACCTACACTGCGTGGGAGGCTGGGCAGCAACCCCACGCTTCCTGTCAAGGATTCCTGGGGCTACAGCCTGAACGTGGTATAGCCCGTTTCTTCTTTATGCTAATTATGCCCTCCTAGCCCCTCTCGGCGGGCGTCTGAAGGCCAAGGTGAGACCCTCCCGGGAGATGAAAGGCCTATCGCCTCCTAAGAGATGCGGGCGGAACGGGGGCGCGGGGCAGGGTGACAGGGTGGTAGCGACACTGACAACGACGCTGAGGGCCCTAAGTTGGAGCTGACGCAGGCCCTACAGGGTTCCCTCCCCGCCTGAGCCTGGCTTCCGCCCTCAGAGCCCAACAAGGGAGAAGTCCTCCCGGGGGCGCTACCGGCAGTGAGTGGAGGAAGGGTGGGCAAAGAGGCCGCAGGCAGCCCCCTCCTCAGACGCGCCTCAAGGCCTGGGCCGTGGGCTGTTGACGCGCCAACGGCGGGGAGGGCGCGCGCACGCGCGAAATGGGGGGCGGAGGGAGCGCGCTCGGCGGCCGCCGCCGCTGCAACTGAAACGGAGGAACGCGAGGGCGGAGGGCGCGAGCCACGGGAGGAGTGTGGGGGGGAGATGGTGGGTAGCGGGGAGCGCGCGCTGACGTCGCCCGGAGTCACGCACGGAGCGCCGGGTTACGCGCCGACGTCTGGCTGCCACGACTTGCCGTCTGCGGCGGCGGCGGCAGCGAGCGGATCCCGCAGGGGAAGGAGGAGGAGGGAGAGCCGAGGGGGCTGTGAGTGAGCGGGAGAAGCAGGGTGTGAGCCGGACTTGCCAGCGGGAGGGAGAACGAGTGAGAGCCGAGCCAGCCATCCGAGCCGCCTCCTCCTCCTCCCCTCGGCGTCCCGCCCCCGCCTGCCAGCCCGCCCTTCTCCCTCCTCAGCCGGCAGAGCCCGAGTGAGGCGCAGCTCGGCTCGCGCCGCTGTCCAGGACAGGTGTGCGCGCGCGCGCCCTCCTCCCCTCCCCCTTTCCTCGCGCCCGCCTAGCGCCTGCCTCGCGCGCGCCCTCCCTCCCTCCAGCCCGCGCCCTCCCTCACCTGCGGCAGGACAGCGCCCGCCCGCCCGCCCGGGTAAGCCCCTCGCGACCTTCTCTGCTGCCACTGCCACAGCTTGAGGTGCCGCCCACCTTGTCCCCTCTAATTGCCCTCTTATGCCCCAGGAATAATTACTGTAGCATTGTAGACATCCCCGCACCCTTCCTGCGGGGACCCTGGTAGTGCAGCAACGCGCCCCCCTCCCTCCGGAGCGCACGAACGAACGAACTCCTTCCCACCTCCAAAAAAGAAGAAAATCACACGCCCCTTAAAAAAAAAAAAAAGCAATCCTACCTCCTCTGGCGCTGGAGACCACCAGTGGTGCCGTTTGCTTAGCAATGCCTGAGCCCCATTCCCCCTGACCACCTTTGCCTGGGGCCTGGGACAGTTCGCCAAACCTGGCCGACACTCCCTGCACAGCAACCCTGGCAGGAGAGGAGAGGAAGGAGGCTTCTAGGCTCCACTACCAACCCCTCCTTTCCTCTGTTCAACCCCCGCCCCACCCCCGCAATGCATACACCCTCCCAGTGTGCGTTGTAAAAATAAAAAAGAATACACTGGTGCTGACAGCGCAGACGAAGCCAGGCCCAAAGATGGGTGGCCCGAACAAGGCATTTTTGCTGCCCCACAGAGCTAGGTCAGCTCCACAGTCTCCTCTGCCTTTGTCCGAGGGCAAAACGGACGGATGTGAAGTTAGAGGGTCTTCCCTTTGAGCGACGGTAGGCCCCGGCAGCGGCTATGGGGAAGGGACCCCAACAAATATATTTGTCTTGAGCCTGATCTTGGGTAGAGAAAGGCCCAAGAGTCCGGCTGGGAAAACTTTCTTTGGTTCGTTGCTGTCTACCCCTGAATAAATGCTACTTTAATTTCCGTTGTCTCTGCGGGACCCTCTTGAGGCTTCTAATTCGTTCTTATATGGGCCCCTTTACGTTTCTGTCGGGCCAGGCGCTTTTGGACAGCTTTTTGCAGCGGTGTCTCTGCTGGTGTCCCGTGTCCTTGGAAGGAAGCCCCAGTGCTTTATAATAGGCTGAATTTGGTTTGACATCTTTTGGTAGATTGTCAGAGGAGAAAAGGAATTTTTTGATTACTTCAAGACCCTCACTGTTCCCCGCCCAAACTGACGTTTTCGAATTGCGGCTTTGAAAATTGGAGTGTTGACTAGAGTGTGGAGAGAGTTGCTGATTTCATTCCTTTGGGTACTAGTAAAACCATTTAAGAATCAGCCGAAAGAGAGAGAGCTGTTGACATTTGCATCGGTTCTGTTTGGACCTTTTGGGTACATAAAATGTCGGGTTCTCTGAATCTTTTATCGAATTTAGAATGTGTGCTACATTTATTTAATTCTTCTGCAAATGCTTAAAATAACATTTGGGGAAATGTGAGGATTCTATCACATGGATTGTTCTCTTCAGATTTTAAATGTTTAATTCATATCTTTAACCCTAAACATTGAAATAGCATTGGAGAGGCATAATTTTAAAGATTAGATGAGCTATAGAAAGGGAATAGACTTTTTAAAAATGGTCGGTGAAATACTATTAGTCGTTGTTGTTAAATGTTAAGATTTACTTGAGAGTTTCCCTTAATTTTCCTGGTAGCTAGCCATGAGAAGAAATGGGTAATTCCTCCACTTTGAACAGTTACAGTACAACATTCCAGTTAGTTTTAATGATTTGGGTATTGAAGATAATTGTCTGGTTTAAGACAGGCATTTAACCTAAGTAGCACTTGAAAACACAAGTTCTAATGTTTTTGCTTCTCTTTTATTTGGGAAATCTGTGATTCTGTGAAATATTAATGAGCGTATTGTTTCTGTTGGGAACTCCGTAATCAAAAGGGTTTATTACCCAGAGGTAGATCCCCTCTCTCCAAGTTTATTTTGTAAATGTGTATGTTAATTTTTACTTTTAGAATTAGATCATTTCAGACCGTATTTCAGGCTGAGGAAAATGAGGTTTTTTCCTTCTTGTTCAGCCTAGTATGTGTTTCTCTTGTGAACAGTTTTTTGTTGGTAAGATTTTGTTAAAGATGTAGAGATAGAGGGATTAAAAATAAAGCAATCTCTATTCTCGAAATGTGTGTGTAGTGTTAATAAGAGAGCACACTAAATCTAGAGACGTTTATTAGGTTTTAAAAATATAAGCAAACTTTGAGGAGGAAGGAAATATTTTTTGATAGTTCTTTCATTAACACAGATATTTTGTGCATATTAATATATTTCGTTTTCCCTTTGTTTTTCCTACATTGTATTGCAATTATAATTTTAATTTTACAACTATTTGGTTTAAAATGACAATGCAAACATCTAGACACTAGAACTGGCTTTTCATTTACCAAGTTAGCATGTTGTTTTGGTAATTAACAAATAGCTAGGTGTGTTTTTAAATCCACAACTTTGCTAATGGATTTTCAATGTTAGGACGCAAATTTAACTTTGAAGTTCTGTTTAAGGTTAAACTCTTTGTTTTAAGACTTTTCTCTCAGACTGCCTTTTAAGGGTACTATATTCTGTAGCCTACGGAAAGCCGCCTTTCACCACCCCCTCCATTCTGACCAAAAGCCCACACTTACAGGCTCATCCTGAAATAAACTCTCTTGTTTGAGTAGTGAAAATGTGTTAAATATCCTATTTATCATTGTATTATTTTGGGAAAGGCATTATTAACCTTGTTTGCTTTTAGATACATTTATAAAGTAGGCAAGAAGCTAATAGATAAAGGCAAAATTTTATACATATATAATAAAAAACATGAAATAAGTAAGAACATATTTATGTGGAGAGATCCAGGTCTCAGTTGTTTACTGATTTGAGCTTAAAATTCCCAGTTTATGCGTGCAAATGATATTTAACTTGTGTTTTGTCTAGAAACTTCATCAATTGCCTCTGCGCTGGGGAACTAAGAACTCAGTTCCTGTGACAGTCACTTTTTCAGAAAATCAGGGCATTCCCAAACTCAAACCAATTCAGAGCCCCTGGACATAAACGTTTGGGACAGAGGGCAAGAAATTTAGACTCCAAAGTTGGTTCAAGAAGGCGGGCAGTTTCGAGCCCTACTTTTTTGTCCTGGGGGAAGCGATCATTAGCATGGAAGAGTGACAGGGACCGGCAGGCGCGTGCCCCCTTATCGCAGCCCCACTGGCCTTGCTGCTTTGAGTTCTCCTGAGGGGTCAAGGGCTTGGTTCAGCGCGAAGTAAACCCTTGAGGAAGAATAGCGGCTCTTCTAGAGCGGTCTTAACCAGGTCGTAGTAGTCTCAGCTTACAGGTGGAAGCGTAATGCCCCGCCCAGTTCTGTGCGGAGACCCTGCCACTCAGCCTTTGAGACCCTGTTTGGGGCCGGGGTCTATCCAGGGTCCTGATCGCTACCGTGCAAACCTAGAGGAGCCGCCGCTTCTTACACATGTATTTCTGTGTGGTGGGAAGTGCACCAACAGTTCCTATATCTCCTTCCCGACAGACTTGGGGACAGGGGAGGGAGTGCAGAAAAATCAGCACTGAAAGGGTACTACGCAGTGCTAGAGGATGACCCTAAATTAAGGGGAAGTTCTTTATGGGGCCCAAAATCTGGATTTCCATCTCTCACAGTGGGCCTCGTCTTCAGGGAGCCATTTCAGGAACAGCTGGACAGGTGGGTGGTTCTGAGGCTGGTTCACAGGACTATCCCAGTTTTCTTCTTGGGAGCCAGGGTGCTCTGCCCTGTTTCTTCCTCTTTAGCGGGAGGTAGCGAACGTCAGCCCAGAGCTGAAGTAGCTAATGCTGGGTTAAATGGGGCCCTTGCTAAGAGAAAAAGGTAGCTGTGAATACTTAGCAGGCAGGTTTGCCCAGGAGATGAAGGGATATATCAGGGGGCTTTAAGGTCTCAAGCATTGACAAAGCTTATGCCCTGGGCTGGTCTGGGTTTCTTTATCATTAGTCCTCTCTTTACCCCTCTCTTTTCCAGGAAGCTTGGGCAGCCAGGTACTCAGATGTCTTGGGAGCTAAGAGTGAGGGAGGCAAGTCTCCTTACTTTTGGGGGCAGGGGTTGGGGGGTGTTAAATGGGAATGGAGCCTACAGATGAGATAGGGATATGCTTCTCAGGATGGAGGCAACAATCCATGCTTGAGAAAGCCAGGAATAGGGCTGTGAGGTCTGTATCACCTAAGCCCCTTGCAGAAGGTGATGGGGAACATGTAGGGGCATAGGCAGGAGGTGCCCTGGAGACAGGCCTTAGCTTTCCCACAGCTGCTAGGACTGCAGACTGCAGTGAGGGAGTATGAGCATTTGCTATGTATCTGGAAGAAGGAAAATAGGCCCTAGTTTATGCCTCAGATCTAGGAAGAGAGAAATCTTTTATTTCTGAGCCCCTTCCTGAGACCAGAGAAGACCCCCTTTAGCTTTCACTGGCTTAGCTGTCATTGGTAATGGTCGGTAACCTAGCTGTCTGTCTAAAAACCAGCGATCATTTAATGTTTTACTTTTTGAGAGATGGGGGCTCTCCTTGACACTTAGGAGTTTCTGGGAGGAGGAGTAAAAGGGGCGAGCGAACCTGCGTTAATGAATCCCGTAAGGAACTGCGTTTCCCAGGAAATTCCTGACATTTTTAGCTCGTGAATTTCCTAAAGCCTGCTTGGTTTTCTCTTCCATCTGGGTCCTTCCAGAGAGGAAGAGTGGGCTAGGGGCTGAAGGCTCGGCAGGGCCTGGTTTATCCGCAGAGCTGGCCGGCAACCCAGGCTGGGCTCAGCCCTGAACAGGGTGCCCCCCTTCCCCAAATCTCAGAAGGAGGAGGGGGAGGCAGGCGGGCAGTCGTTGTCCCAGAGGGGGCTGGTTGAAGGTTTTGGGGTGAGTGTGGGGTTTCTTTTTGATTGTTGCTTGGGGAGAAGGGCAGAGCCAACGGGAAAAGGCACTGCGGGCACCCCGGCCCTGGTGCGGCTGCCGTCCTCTGCTCGGCTCCCCCCCTGCCGGTGAGTGCGCCCGCCCGCCCGCCCGACTGTGCGGGGCTGCGGTTGGGGGGGAGGGGGGAGCGGGATCATCTGAGGCCAGAGCCGCTGCCGTGCGCGGGGAGGGGGAGCGGCGGGAGCGAGGGGAGGGAAGGGCTAGGTGTCTGGTGCTCCGCGCCACTGCTACCGGCGCCCCGTCCTCATCCCTGGCAGCCCCTTCTGCAGCTAAGGTTTACCGCTGCACCACCTCTCTTCTTCCTCGCCCGCCTCTGCGGCCAGGGCTCTGCGGTAGGAGACAGTCCAGTCAAGTGACGGGTGGGCCGATCTGGGTCTGGATGGGGCCCGCTGGGGAGGGGGTGGCCGTGACTCGGTGTCCCCTCTCTGCAGCGGGCTCAACTGCGCTGCGCGGGCCCCTCCCCCCACATCTTCTTTGGGGTCACTGGAAAGCAGAGCTCAGGCCCACTCCCTGTGCTTAGTATGGCA